AGGGGTGGAGAAATCGAACCTGGCTCAGCCGGGCTGGCTGCCCTCAAGGCAAACGCCCTACCACTGTGCTACGCAACCCTAAATTCTCATTAAGGTTATCTCTGCACTGTCTCACAGAGCTCTTATCTTTCTGCTCCTTTTGGCTCTAGCTCCAGGCCTTTTCTCAGCTCCAGAACCCTCCCAGGTACTGGATCTGAGAAATCTTCAGTGATTCCAATAAGATCTAGATTGAGAATTTCTATTTCTCTGTAGGCTCAACATTCTGATGAGAAGTCTCTGTTTAAACCTGGTCTAACAAGTTCCAAAACCACTTAAATCTTTCAAATTGCTGGGTTGCATACTCTGCTCAGGTCTAAAAATGTCTACTTCTGATTTCATCAAACCTGGCTCTAACAGACAAAAAGACAATGAACTGACTACAAACAGTTAACTATATGATCTTGCATTTTCTTTCCTCCTCTGCTTTGATAATCCCATTTCTTTTACTTCCGGCATAAAGATCAAACTGCAAGATGGTCTGGTAATGCAAACTGCCACTCACTGGCCATCTTTCCCTGTGCTCAGGCTTATACTTAGGCCACGTGGTGTTACAGAGGTCAACAAGACACTCCTTATTTAAACTACTTAGTTGGAAATTCCTCCCATGTTTTAACAAGCAACCTAAAGGAGAATCTTTGGTTATCAATGTAGAATTTCCCATATTTCCTGAGTGCCAGCAATGACTTATGAAAAAGGATGGTTCCTTGGCAAAACTTTGTCTTTCTTAGCTTGCTACATCTACCCTGCCTTTTGCAGGTCTGCTGCCTTTTCCTGGCTTTTTACCTGCCTTTTACACTTTTTTTTTTTTTTTTTGCTTCTCTTTGCCTAGAGCTAAATCTGCTGGCTACCGATCCCCCTCTTTAGACTGGGACTGAGTGGGGTAAGGATTTTCTAGGTCTAGCCTGGAAGCTGATCTGCCTTAGTTCCACAGAACCTTCTTAATAATTGTGGGTTTTCCTCCCGCTCCTCCCACACTGGATGGTGACAAGAGACAGATAAAGGAGGGGTGCCTCTTTGCAGAGACCATTCAGGTGTTTGCCTGGCCGGTGGAAAACTTAGCCATAGTGGTTCAGTGTTGTGACTTGCGACCAGCATCTATGCCAGTGCCACCCTTGACTGTACATCTTCCATGGAATCGCAGACAGCCCACTCGAGTTCTGTGACTTAGAGGGACTTTAAGAGTGCCGGGTCGTGGAGCCAACAAAATCACGCCCGATAGGAGGACCTATCAGAGTGCTCATGCACACACACATTCACACAGAAGTTATCACATTCCTCTCTCTTCCCCACCCCACCCCCAGATGTTAAGGGTGCATACCTCCATGGCAGATTTTCCACAGGTAATCACCTTCCTCATGGATTTCTCAACTGACTCCTAATGTCAGGGATGGCTCCCACGACCTCCAGCAGTGGAATGAATCTCCAGGGTCTCCAGCCGCTTCATTCTCCACCCAGATGAGAATTTTCAACCAGACCCAGACAGGGCCTTCCAGTCCCCCCAGACAGAGGTGGCCAAACCTCCTTACCGCGGTCTTGTCCCTAACAGTTTAAGCCTTGTTATTGGGGTCATCTGTTCTCGAGGAGAGGGTCTCATCTCACTGGGGCCTCCAAATGTTGGAGTGCAGAGTCGACTACCCTTCAAGAATAGAGAACAGAGCCGATAATGCAAATCACATAGTGAGGTTTATTGTTCCAGCTAGCTGGGGTCCAAGTATCTGCCCAACGCAGCAGGCTTCAACAAGGACCCCAAGCACTAAGTTCAGCAAGTTCTTATACTTTCATTTTGGCAAGCATTACTCAGCAATGTTCTATTACTACACATATATTTTGTTGTTGTTGTTTTAGACTGCAACATCCAGCCCACCTCTCTGACAGTTACATTCCCAAGACCTAGAAGCCTAGGTCACTCAGAAGGCCACAAAGCCTGTCACGGCAGTTCTCCAGCTAAGTGGGTCCTCACAGGCAGAGAGAGGCTCTACACACACACACCAGCATTAGACACGAAAGCATGAAAATACACATCTCAAGAGGGGAAATACCAAGCAACACAAGTGCATGGGCACCACATGGGCTTGACCACATAGGGAAATAAGCGAATTAGCTCGGACAGTATATGTGAGCGCTTCCTTCGTTCACGGTGGCCTTTATAGGGTTTCTCCAGGGGCTGGAGAGATAGAGCAGCGGGTAGGGCGTTTGCCTTGCACGCAGCCGACCCGGGTTCGATTCCCAGCATCCCATATGGTCCCTTGAGCACCGCCAGGAGTAACTCCTGAGTGCAGAGCCAGGAGTAACCCCTGTGCATCGCTGCGTGTGACCCAAAAAAACATAAATAAATAAATAAAAAATATAGGGTTTCTCCAACCTGCCCTCACGTGGGGATTCTACCTAGGTCAAAGTCCCTTGCCAAGGTTACCAGGGGACTTGGGAATGGTGATGATCTTTAAAATTCCTTTCCGGGTCTCTTGTTCCTGCAGGAGCTTCTTTGGGTCCATTGCTAGAGCAGGTGAGGGTCTTATCAGGCCTTGGTTCCTGATTTCTGCAGGGCTGGCTTTTGCCGTTGCCTTGGGAGGGGGCTTCCTACCTTCCTTCCTTCCTTCCCTACCAGCCTACATCAATAATACGGGCGCGAAGGTGAGGGATGCAGGGCTGAGTGAGGGGCAGGGGAGGAGCGGGCGGCGGGCCACGTGGCCTCCGGGGCCCTTTGTCGCGGGCCGGTGTGTGCTAAGTGGCTGCTGCCCTCGGGGACTGGGCCGCCGCTTCCGGGTTCCGGGTTTCCGGGGACCCCCACCCACCCTCCTGCCGCCCCTCGGGGGCGGAGCGGGCCGCTGGGGTGCGGACGGGCCGGGAAAGGCGCGCGCACGTGGAGCCGCGGTGCAGCTGGAGGGCGCCGCACCTGGGGCGGGTGGGTGAGCGCGGGGGTCGCGGGGGACCCCGGGCAGGGCCAGGGCGCTGCGGCCTAAGGGGCGGGGACCCAGGCCAGGCTGGCCGGCTGCAAGCACTGCGGGGTGTCCCCTCGGTCCCCGAGAGCTAGCTGGCGGGCAGTGGTGGGTGGGGTTGCGGGGCGCGTGGATGCGGGGCCGCCCGGGCAGCCTCTCGGCGCCTGCAGAGCGAGCCGGGAGGCGCAAACGCGGGCCGTTGGGGCAGCTGCATTGTGTGCAATCGGGACGTGGCTGGGCTCCGCGGGACCCGGGAAGAACAAAACCTGTTAGCGCCCGGCCGGCCTGAGCTGCGAGTCCCCACGGGACGCCCCCGCGCTCGGCTCCTGCCCACGTCCTCGGCCCGCCGCGATCCGGTGAGTAGGGGGCTCGGCTGCGGGGTCGCTCCGTGGGCGGAGGCGCGCGTGGGAGCCGTGAGAGAGGGCGTCTTCCTGATGAAGCCCTCCGTCACGGACTGATGCCTTTTTAAGGCTACAAAGTTTCTCCACTTAGGTAACAAGACGTTCACTTTTTTTTTTTTCTTTTTCTTTTTTTCTTCTGTGTTCCGCGGCAGGAGAATTTTCCGTTTGGTCCAATCAGCTGGATGTGATTCCTTTCTCTGCACAGCCGGAGAGGGAAAAAAAAAACAAACCAGTAAACCCTAAGAAGCCCCTCAGTCACTACCCTTCCTCACACACTTGAAAGGTGGGCTAGCTACTGTCCCAAGGGAGGAAGGGACCCCAGGTAACCTGGACCTGGCCTTTGGTGGAGGCACCTGCCCGGAGGCAGAGCCTGGAGGAGCTGATGAATTTGCAGAGGCCCCTGTTCTGCAGGGGAGCTCCCTCCAGGGACGTGGGGTGGGCTTTACTTTGAACACAGACCTGGCGTCCCTCCTCCCCCTCCCAACTTTCAGCATTTCCGAAACCAGGAGTACCGTGCAAGAGTCGTTGAGGGAACTTGCCAGTGGCTGGGTGTGGGTGGATGGTGCAGTTGCCTGGTCCTGCTGACCCAGGTGGTACTTGGGCCGTGCAGTTCCATCCATGGCATAATTGAGATTCATCGATTTCGATTAATTTGCTCCAGGGGGAACCAGTAACGTCTCCATGGTGAGACTTGTTACTGTTTTTGGCATATCGAATATGCCAATGGAAGCTTGCCAGGCTCTGCCATGCAGGTGGGATACTCTGGGATACTCTTGGTAGTTTGCCTTGCTCTCTGAGAGGGACAGAGAAATCAAACCCGGGTCGGCCGCGTGCAAGGCAAACGCCCTACCCGCTGTGCTATCGCTCCAGCCCAGCATAATTGAGACAGAGAAATCAATTCCATCTGCTGAGTTATAATTGAAATCAATTTTCTCAGCTGAAATTCAGAAATCAATCCCTTCCGTAAAGATGTGGAAATGAATTCTGAGATCCAGTGGCTTGTTAAAAAATTTAAAAGACTAAGATTGATCATTAAGTGTTTGTTGGTGAAGGGTTTCCTGTCCACCCAACATGGCATCAACCGGCATGGCTTCCGTATCAAGCATGATCGTCTCCAGGAACAGGAGCTGTTGCTCAGGAAGCTGACACACTGAGCTTTTAAGTGTTAATAATAATAATAATTATTATTATTAATCCTGATAATTCTGTGTCAGGATTCTAATGCAGCCCTACTGTGTGCAGCTTAGGAGGAGAGCATCTAGGCAGGGGCGGTGGCTGTTGTGTCCATGGGACGTTCATGTCTCTTTGGCTGTTGGTACGTGTGTGGAACTCGGGAGGTCACATTCAGGAGCATCGCTTAGACCTAAGTGACACCAGATCTTTCCTTCGGAATCTCTTGCAGCTTGAAGTCTCCTGCTACAACTCCTGGCACATCGGTGGGACACCTGGGGCTTCCTGCTCCCTCCTCTCCGGCCCAGTGCCCTTCTCGAACCCAGGCTTGCGTCAGCCCCAACAGCAGCAGCTGCCTCCTGAGGACACAACTTCCTCTGAAAGGGGAGTCCATACTCCAGGGTTGTTAAAGCCACACAGTGCCTTGGGGCACTCCTGGGCTTCACATCGAGCCATGCTGCAGCAGCTGTTGATCACGCTGCCCACCAAGGCTGGCACCTGGGTGAAATTGCAGCACCCACAGAAGGCCAGGGTACGGGAACCCCTGTGGGAAGACGTGACTAAGATGTTTGAAGGAGAAGGTGAGAATACTGGTGGCGGGGTGGAGCGGGAAGGAATCTCTCTGTGTAGGGAAATGCAGGGACACTCTTCATTGAGGTATTTCCCAAGGAGAAAATCGGAGAGAAATAGATTCATGCTTGTGACTTGTGGGGGTTTCTCCAAAGCTGTGCTGTGAGGTCAAGGGACCACCAGGGCCAGATGGTTCAATGATAGAGGGTCCCAGGATGTGGTTGGAGCTTGGGCCTAGCTCTGTGGAGGGGAGCTTCTAGAACTGCACCCATTAATGCTGGGGGTCATCAGGGCTGCCCTGGCAGTGCTTGAGGTGGGGGCTGCTCTGGAGCCATACCCAGCACAGGAGCCTATGTAGTGCCAGGAAGTGAACTCGGGTCCCCAAGGTGCCACTGACCTATCTCCCAGTCCCCATGCTTGTGACTCTTAGAGTGGACAGCTGAGGAGGAGAATGCTGGGCTCTCGGCACAGGTGTTGGACTCCTCTCTGCTGCCCTCATCTCCTGAGCACAAATAAGAGACAGACAGACAATTCGGGCTGTTCCCCAGCCAGCAGTGTGGCAGTGTGACTCAGCAGAGTCAGAGATTTCTGCCCCTCCAGCCCTCCAGTGGGTTTTCTGCTCACCCATGACAGCTTAGCCTCAAACACTCATTTCTCACAAAATTTTTTTTTATCTGCTGCTGAAAGGAAGGACTGACAGGCTTCATGTTTTTCATTCATTCTACCACAAAATACGTGACTTCAGTGGGAAATGTATCCCGGAGGACACATTATTGGCAGGCTAGACAGGAGGGATGGGCAGAGGATTGTGTGTGACTCAGTTCTTAACTCATACTTCAGATCCAGCCCGTGGTGATTGGGCTGTAGCTGGGTCTAGTGGGGACTGCACTACGCATCTTGACAGGTGGAACAGTGAGTAATGATCTCACTGTTCTGACTTGGAACTGATGGAATTGGGCCCAAAATCATATCAGTGTGATAGTAGGTAGCATAAGAAAATGCCCTGGGGGGAACTGGAAAGATAATACAGTGGGTAGAGCACTTGTCTTGCATGCATTACACCTGGGTTTGATCCCTGTGATACTCCGTATGGTCCCCTGAGCCGGTCAGAAATGAACCCTGAGTGCAGAGACAGGAATAAGCCCTGAGCACTGCCAGGTGCAACTCAGATACACACACACACACACACACACACACACACACACACAAAGTGCTTTGGTAAAGTTTTTTGGGGGCAGGTAGATTGGCAGAGAGATTGTGCAGTGAGTAGGGCACTTGCCTTGCATGTGGCTGACCCGGATTTCATTGCCGGCATCTCATAGATATTCCAAGTACTGCCAGGAATGATCCTTGAGTACAGAGCCAGGTAATCCTTGAGTGAGCATTGGCAAGTATTACCCAAAAACAAATGAAAAAACTTTTTTTTTTGGGGGGGGGTGGTCAGAGAGAGAAAGTTTAAGGGTTAAAATAGTCAGCTTGCACAGAACCAACCCAGGTTTAATTATCGACATTCCATATGGTTCCCTGGATACTGCCTGAATACTGCCAGTGATTCCTGAGCAGAGTCAGGAGTAAGTCCTCAGCAAAGCTGGGTGTAGCCCCCAAACCAACCAACCAAGCAAAAAAAAAATTTCAGGTTATTGTGGTGACTGCCTCCTAAGCAGTATGCAAGGAGCATGGGGGCTATTCCCTTCCATGCACTGCCATGTGGTTCTTGGGATCAACACCCAGGCCTTTGCCTGCTAGGTATATATGTGCCCTCTGAGCTAGCTCTTCCTGGGCCTCTGTGGTAAAGTTCATTATTATGGGGGCCTTGAAGAGTGCCTCAAAGAATGGGTCAATTTTCTAGTTTAACTGAGGGTTTAGATCAGAGGTTCTCAAACTAAATTGGCCTACCATCCCCTTTTCAGGAAAAAAATAATTCTGTGTCCTGAGGAAATCTACCTTTAAGTGAAGAGCTAGGAAGTGCCTCATTAGGGACCAGAGTGATGGTACAGTGAGTAGGGTGCTTGACTTGCATGGGCGGACCTGGGCTTGATCCTTGGCACCCCATATGGCTCCCCGAGCTCACTAGGAATGATCTCTGAGTGCAGAGCCAGTGGTAAGCCCCTAGCACCACAGAGTGTGTGCCCAAAAAAAATAAGATAAGAGAAAGTGCCCCCCAACTGCAGTCTCATGGGAAGGAGGGCGGTACCAGCTCATCCTTCACGCCCTACCGAGGTCATGAGTTGCCCCCCACAAGCAGCTCTCTGGCATGGCCATGGCTCCAGAGGCAAAAGGACTTTGTCCAGAGCCCAGCAGCTTGCAGAAGAAAAGTGAATGGATCATGCGTTAAACTACGGCGCCATGCCTTCCTTGGGAGGGAAAGGGTGTTGCTCCCTTCCGCCTTTTTCCCCCCTGGCAGCAAGGTGGCCGCCGCCTCAGAGCTTATAGGAAAGCCAGGTACAAGCCAGTGGTGACGGGGCAACTGCAGTCTCATGGGAAGGGGGGCGGTACCTGCACGTCCTTCACACCCTACTGAGGTCACAAGTTACCCCCCACGAGCGGCTCTCCGGCATGGCCATAACGCCAGATACACAGAAACCAATCTCGTAATTATCTGGCTCTTTGCAGAAATCCAAAATCGTGGCCACGTGACATTATATGATTCTCATAACCAGCTGTAGAAAACAAAGTATTTCACAATGCCTTTTCAGCAATTCTGATTGTTTGGGGGGAAATTCTAAACATTAATGGTGCATCTTTTGTCGAAATAATGAATAATCAATGTAGAGAAGAGTTAAGTAGAAATCATCTGCCTCACAGACTTTTGGAGGGGTGGGAGGGGGGTATACTGGGGTTCTTGGTGGTGAAAAAGGAGTACTGGTGAAGGGAGAGGTGTTTGATCATTGTATGACTGAGACTTAAACCTGAAAGCTTAGTAACTTTTCCCACAGTGATTCAATAAATAAATATAAAAAGAAAAAAATAAAAAAAAATTAAGGTGGAGTTCATGCCCAATTCAATCAGCTAATCAGTGGCTGAATAAATAGCAGTATTCCTACAAAAAAAAAGTGCCCCCTCAGCCGCATTTGATCTATGCCTCCCCATGATCCCACTGCTGCCCTGAGGACAGTACCACCCACTTACAGTGTAGAAAGTGGCAGGTGTAGGATCCTCTGTATAAAGGATTGTGGTTAGAAGAGACCAAGGATGGAGAACTGTGCTTCAGGCATGTGGCAGATGCCTTGAAGTCAATGGGAAGTATTTGGATTTTCATCCTTGTTCTTGAGCACAGAGGGGCCTAGTCGACCTATTCATCTGGACCAGTGCTGCCCTTTGGGACATCTTAGGAGCACTCTGTAGATCCTCAGGAAGGATGGCTGTGTTTCCCCTACGTCACCCTCAGTGTCTCTGGGTGTGAATGTACTGAGAGAGGAGCCCCACTGAGGGGTCCTCAGGCAGCCTTTCTGCTGGGGCCTTGGGGGTATGCACATACCATTACTCTTTTCTTTCTCCAGCGTTGGTGTCTCAGAATGCTGATGAGTGCCAGGAAGGAAGAAGTTTAGAGGAAGAAGTGGCCTCTGGACCCCTGCCCGCAGGAGTCCAGGTGTGTTGAAATTTCCCCCTTTCTCTTTTTTTCTTGAGGTGAGGGGTATGTGCTTCTTGGTTTTTCAGGTTTTAATCTTCCTGAAGTTTTGGAGAAGAGGTGGCATGTCAAGACTTAAAAGTCCACTAGAGAAGATTAGCACAGGCTGAGCTGAGACAGAAAACTGAGCTGAAGCAGTGGCAAAAGTCTGACGCCCTCTGGCTGCGGGATTTTTGTTTTTAAGTTACATCAATACCTAACATGGTTTTCGGTAGGAAAAGCCGAATCAGTGAGCCTAACAAGCATTTCTAACCCCTGAAAACCAACAGATACCATTTGGGATCAAAGAGAAAACCTCATCTCGATTTTTTTTTCTTTTTGGGTCACACCCAGCGATGCTCAGGGGTTATTCCTGGCTCTGCACTCAGGAATTATTCCTGGCGGTGCTTGGGGGACCATATGGGATGTCGGGGATTGAACCCAGGTCAGCCGCGTGCAAGGCAAATGCCCTACCCGCTGTGCTATCACTCCAGCCCCTCAATTTTTTTAAATATTATAACTTAAGAGAAGAATCGCACTATTCTCCCGTTTATCAATTTGCTTGAGCGGGCACCAGTAACATCTCCATTGTGAGACTTGTTGCTTTTTTTGGCACATCAAATGCGTCATGGGGAGCTTGCCAGGCTTTGCTGTGCAGGCAGAATACTTTCGGTAGTTTGCCAAGCTCTCCGAGAGGGGCAGAGGCATCAAACCTTGGTTAGCTGCGTGCAAGGCAGACGCCCTACCCGCTGTACTATCACTCCAGGTGAAGTGATAGCACAGCGGTAGGGTGTTTGCCTTGCATGTGGCCAACCCTGCTGACCCGGGTTCAATTCCTCTGCCCCTCTCAGAGAGCCTGGCAAGCTACCGAGAGTATCTCGCCCGCCCGGCAAAGCCTAGCAAGCTATCCGTGACGTATTCGATATGCCAAACACAGTAACAGGTCTCACAATGGAGACATTACTGGGCCCGCTCAAGCAAATCGATGAATAGTGGGAGGAGAGTGACAGTGAAGAGAATTTATGGGCCAGAGAGATAGTACAGAGGGTGCTTGCCTTGCACACAGCCAATCCTGGTTCAGACCCCACATCCCAGATGGCTCCCCCCAAACACACCTAGGAGTGATCCCAGAGCATAGAGCCATGAGTATGATAGCCCTGAGTACCTCCAAAGTATGGCCCCAAAACCAAACAAAAAGAAATTAGAAAAAGAATTTGCCAGTGAGAAGAGAATTCGGATATCCTTAGTGGTGTGTATGTCTACATCACTGTGAGCTCTGAGGCCACCATGGATATTGGGAGCAGAACTTGACCAGTGAGGAAGTGAGTGACAAAATGGTCTGGCCATATGCCGTGCACACCTTGGACAGGGGCTGGTTACTTGGGTGTCAGAAATACGGGTGCTTATCAACCATAAATGAAGGTAGAGCCTAGGCAAAGAATCCCTGGTATGTGAGAAAGGAAGACTATTCAAGAAGTGAGGTCATTGGCAGAAGAGTTTCAGGTGAAAATATGGAGGCTGGAGAGAATACAGAAATTAAGGGGCTTTCCTGGTTCACAGCCAGCCCAAGTTTCACCCCTAGCATCATATACAGTCCCCTGGGCCCCGTCAGGAGTGATCCTGAGCACAGAGCCAGGAATAAACTTGAGCACAGCTGGATGTGGCCCAAAACACAATGCAACCATACACACACAGTGAAAAAACCTTGTATTTAAAATTAGGTCGTACAAAATTTATTTGAGTTTGATCTAGGTGATTTTTTAAATAGTTTTTAAATTTAATATCAGCTAATCCAGATACTAATACCTTCTAAGATTTAAGTGTGTTCCAGAGTTATCTTAAGTAACATGGAATAAGAAATAATGATAGTCTGTGTGAAGATATATCTCACTTATCTAGAATTCCTTAATTGCTGACATTTATGAAAAACTGATGGTAGTGTTAGTCTAGTTAAAAATTGAAGTATAAATTGAATGCAGGAAATACGTGTATTTCTTGTCATGTCATATCCTATATTTTGACATATCGATTTGCTTGAGCGGGCCCAGTAACATCTCCATTTTGAGACTTGTTACTGTGTTTGACATATCAAATACGTCACGGGTAGCTTACCAGGCTTTGCCGTGCGGACAAGATACTCTCGGTAGCTTGTCGGGCTCTCTGAGAGGAGCAGAGGAATCGAACCCGGCTGGGCTGGGCTGGCTGCATGCAAGGCAAATGCCCTACCGCTGTGCTGTCTCTCCAGCCCATTTTGACACATATATGCAACATAACCAAATGAAGACATGAATAGTTCCATCTCAGGAAGGTTCCTCATGCCTCTTTTTTTTTGTTTTAACAGTTTTACCATAATTGACCGTTTATTTTAAAAATTACAGGGAGTGATTTCCAACATATCTTATTCTATACAAGTACTGCTGTATCAAACATTAATCACTAGTAATTCCACTGAAGAGCTGCCTTACATCTGTTAAGATACTAATTCCAATTGATGGGATATATGCCCTTAAAATAAAAAGTTCTCATTATTTATCTGAATGTCAAAACTAAGGAGACTTAACTGAAATGTACTGCTTTATGGCTGGGCAAAATGCTATTAGTATATTTTAGGTAAATAATGTTTTTTAAACTATGAAGTCACTGTTTATAACTTTCAGGACAATTCACAGAAAATAGACACATTTATTCAAATTACACACCAAAGGGCGGGGGGTGGGCTACTGACTACAGATATTTCCACATGAAGCAGCTCCTTAAAGAAACCAGACATACAAATAGGGCTGTGTTGGTATAATACACATAATGAATAAAATCTTGAAGACCAATATGTTACTCTATTGTTGTTAGAATTTTTTTTTAAAAAATCACACACTTAGCAGTCCATTATTCCCTCATGCCTCTTTTCAATCAAAAGTACTTCACTCCAGGAGGCTGGAATGATAGCACAGTGGTAGGGCGTTTGTCTTGCATGCAACCAACCCAGGTTTGATTCCCAGCATCCCATCTGGTCCCTCGAACACCGACAGGAGTAATTCCTGAGCGCAGATCCAGGAGTAACCCCTGTGCATCACCGGGTGTGACCCAAAAAGCAAAAAAAAAATACTACTTCACTCCTTCACAGGCTTGGGATGAGCCCTTCACACATGAGAATGAATCTGCTGAAAAACCCAGGTATGCAGGTTTTGTGACTGAAATCTACGGGCTCACACTGAGTTGGGAATGGTCCTCCTTCTCTCTTCTCCCTGTGCTTCCAGGAGCCTGGCAGTCATGCCCACAAACTATCTCTTAGGCCCTATAAGCTCATGAACAACCATGATCTAAAGACTTAACAAATAAATCTCAGAAGAGAGCAACTTGCTGCAGAGATGCTTCCAGACCCCAAAGTTACATTCCAGTTATAAATTTAATTCCAGCTCTAGCACCCTATTTAAGATTTTAGAATTTGGGGGGCATGTGGCAACAAGAGGCCATGTGACTTCTCATATTTTATGCCAGCAGTATACCAAGAGTAGCACACTGCATTTGATGGGGTGTAAGGTAGAAAGTAACCAACATATATATGTATATATATATATATATACACACACACACACATACGTATGTATTAGCACACAGGTTCAACCTGTAACATGTTAGTGATCTCTTATGGGCTTAATGGCTCCAAGGTGAGAAACAACAATTTTCACACTTTCTTCTAAGGAAACCTCTTTGGATCATTTTTAATCTATTCCTGACAATCAATTAAAATAAATTATTTAGCATCTGTCTTTGGGGAAGACTTGGGTGGGGGTGGGAAAATTCGAAATGATGGTATGATGGTGGTAGGATTGATGTTGAAATATTGAATATAATGTATTATTGTGAACAACTCTATAAAAATAAAATTTAAAACAACAACACAAAATTACTTCAACCCCAGTTCAGAATACCTGGGATCCTTATTTTATTTCTTAACGCAGACATGTAAATCTGTAATTGTCTCAAACTAAAAAGTTTAAGAAAAGGATGCAGGGTCTGGAGAAATAGTCCAAGCATTCAGGCACCTACCTTCCAGGTGCCAGCCCTGGTTCAGTGCCAGCACCACACAATCTCCCAAGCACCAGCACCAGTTATACCCAAGCACAGAGCCAGGAACAGCTGCAGAGCACCACCAGGTCTGACCCCCAAAATGGAAGGAAGAAAAAGAAACAATGCGTTGTGCCTTTGCTAGATGTGCTTAAATACATCTTGGGTATTATATTTTTTATTAATTTTATTTTTATAGAGTTGTTCATGATATTTATTGCACTCAGTATTCCAACAGCAATTCCACCACCACTACATTTTGCCAACCACCATTATTTCCAATTTTCCCAACCACCACCCAAGCCTGCCCCATAGCAGGCCCTAAATAATTTATTTTGTATTTCTTATTATGAATAATTCACTAAAAATGATCAAAAAAGATTATCTTAAAAGAAAGTGTGTGAAGAATCTTGTATCTCACCCTGGAGCAGCTATGCCCATGCATAAGAGTTTACTAACATATTGTTACAGGTTAAGCCTTATGTGGTAATATTTTTTTGATTGAGATTGGTTGCTTTCTGCTTTATATCCCATCCAATGTGGTGTGCTACTCCTGGTATATCAGTGTTGGAGAGTTTGATAACGTTGCTCCAGGAATTCTAAAATTTTAAATGGGATGACATAGCTGGAGTTAAATTTTTAACTGGATGGTGACTTTGGGGTCCAGAAGCATCTCTGTAGCTTGTTGATCTCTTTCAAGATTTGTTTATGAGTCTCTGGACCATGGCCAGTTAATGAGCTTATATGGCGCCAGACGTAGTTCATGGGCATTGACTGCCAGGTTCCTGGAAGAAAAGGGGGATGCGGGAGAGGTTACCCCTCCCCTACTACTTGGGAACTTGGAGATTTTGTTCACAGAACACCTGAGTTTTTCAACAGATTCATTCCTGCATGAGGCTTCTCCAAAGCTTCTGGAGTCCGGCCTTGAGCACTGCGGTGATTGTGTCGTGGAGGTTTTCGGCTGCAGGGGCTCTGCTTGGGCAGGTGATGGGCTCACCTGTCCCTCCAGGGTGCTCTGGATCAGAGCCTGCTGTAGGGTCTGGAGGCACAACTTGGGATTTAAGTTGGTTGTTAGGTTATTAAAATCAATGTCCTTGATTAATTTTGATGTACTTGTCCCATTACTGAGACTAGTATTCCAAAGTATGATGATTTTGGCCTTGTCTGCATTTCCCATTCCTTTTGTCAGCTCTGCTTTATTTATTTTGAAATTCAGATTTGTCGGATACAAAAACACTTAGGGTTGCTATGTTGTTGTTGTTATTGTTGTTGTTTTGTTTTGTTTTGTTTTGTTTTTGGGCTACACCTGGCAGTGCTCAGGGCTTACTTCTAGCACTGTGCTCAGGGATCACTCCTGGTGATGGGGTGCCAGGGATTGCACCCATGTTTGCCGCATGCAAGGCAAGCACCCAGCCCTCTGTACTCTGACTCCGGTCCTACTGTGTCCGTTTAACTGACATGGGCAAGGTCCCAGGCAGAGTGCAGGAAGCCATGGGCCAGTCCTCGAGAATTGTTGTTTTTTTCATGAACATCACTGAAAAAATATTTTCTTTTTTTGCTTTTTGGGTCACACCCAGCGATGTTCAGTGGTTATTCCTGGCTCTGCACTCAGGAATTACTCCTGGCGGTGCTTGGGGGACCATATGGGACGCCAGGGATTGAACCCAGGTCGGCTACGTGCAAGGCAAACGCCCTACCCGCTGTGCCCTACTCCGGCCCCTGAAAAAATATTTTCTCATCATGAAATGTCTCTTTTTTATGCCTAGTAATATTCTTTTCCCCCTGAAGTCCCATTTTGTTAGATTTGGTGCAGCCCAGTGTTCATTTATGTTTATGAGGTAAAGCCTTTTCTGTTCTTTGACTTTTCTCCCTCCCTCCTTTTCTCCTTCCTCCCTCTCTCCCTCCCTCCCTTCTTCTCTCCCTTTCTCTCTCCCTTCCTCCCTCCCTCCCTCCCGCCCTTCCTTCCTTCCATGCTTAAATATAGCTGCTTCTGCTTGTTTAATGCAGTTACAGTTACTTGGTGGGATTTAGGTGCAGGTATTCTCTTTTGTTTTATATTTGTCTTATCTTTGTCTCCATGTTCCTCCTCTTCTGCCTAAATAAGGACTGAACAGTGTTGTAATATCCCATGTATTCTAGTGACTTTAATCTGTACTTCTTTGATTTTTTCAGTGATTGTTGTCTTTACAATAATGTGTCATAGCACACACACACATATATATGAAAGTTGCCTTTAATTAACAGTTTCATACATACAATGAAATTCTTACATTTTCTTTTTCTTCTTAGTGCATTGTCATCATACATGTTGCATTACATGCTATAAAATGCACAGTACATTTATGAGCCTGGCCAGCTACCCGTGATGTATTTGATATGCCAAACACAGTAACAACAAGTCTCACGATAGAGACGCTACTGGGCCCGCTCGAGCAAATCGATGAACAATGGGAGGACCATGACCGTGACATTTATGAGGCAATAGAAAATTACCTCCTAAACTTTTTTTTAAAAAAGAAAAAAAACAAGTGTGTCACATCTGCTCACATTTACCAGTTCAGGGACCTTTAGTCCCAAGTTTCTACCTGCTTCATTGCCGTCATCCATTTAACTTTTCTTATAATGTGAATGTTTTTATGACAAATTTGCACAGCTTTATATTTATAATGTTTTTCAGTTTGAGGATTTTTACTGGTAATAGAATTGCAGGTTAACTTTTTTCTTTCAAACACTTTTGGTGCGGTCTTTTATCTTGTAGCTTGCATTGTTTGGGGTGAGAAATCACTGTTATTCTTTCTAATTTTGTGATGAGTTTCAAATATATGTATGAAACTATTTTTCTTAGTTCCTTTTGTTTACTTAAGCAGTCTTTTATCTTTTCTCTTCAGCAGTTTTATTATAATATGCTTGAGAATTATTTTTTTATTTCCTTAATTTTTATTAAAGCACTGTGATTTAGTTATCCATAGTTGAATTTTAGGCATACACTATTGAAGCACTGGTCCCACCACCAGTGCCAACCTCCCTCCACCAATGTTCCCAGGGTCTCTCCGTATCCTCTTGACAGGCCCCTTTCTAAGTTTGGCTGTTAAAGTTTGGGTCTCTTGATTTCAGTTTTGTTGACTGTAGTTTGGGTGTTTGTCTCTGTCATTCCTTAATATCACCATTGTACCTGACCCCCCTGTCCTGGCCTCTGTTGCTTCTCGTCTATCTCTTCTGTTCCTCCCTTCCACTCTTTCTTCCCTTCTCCTTTGGGAATTATTTTAAAATATTTTATTGTTTGAAGGTTTGCTGGGTTTCCTAGATTTGTGATGGATTTTGCTCTCATATTGGTACTTTCTCAGGATTTATTTTTTAAAAAACTTTTTTCAGTTCGTTTTTTCATCTTCCAAAATTATGGTTACACTTATATTGGATAACTTGATAGTATCAATCTTTCCAGGGATCCAGTCTTTCTGATTTAATTTGAGTAATATGTATCACCCTGTCTTAAGTTTCACAGATCTTATAAGGGCCACTCTACTATTTACTACCTGCTACTAGTAACCCCTGCTACTTTACCCAATGAATTTTAGATACTGTATTTTTCAGTTTTATATTTTCATTTAGTTCGTTTTGAACATTCTTATATCTCTCCTTAGTTACCCTCATCTTTTCATCCCTTTTATCTATATATCATCATAAAATTTTAACATTTTAATGTTGCTTTGAATTTCTTGTTAGCTACTTCCAGTGATGCGGTCACATACGTATACAAAGTCCTCATGTGCTCCCTTCACATGGGTAATATTCGTTATAGTTTATGTACTATATAGAAGAGCAATAGATGATGAAATAAGGAAGAGGGAGAGAGGAGAGAGATCTATTTTGAAATTTGTATTTTGACATCCCTCAGCTGTACTCAGAGCTTATTACTCCTGACTCTGTGCTCCGAGATTACCCCTGCTTGGAGGACCATATGTTCATCTTTGTTGTCAGCGCTGGCAGGAAGCAGAATTTTTTCTTCAACAGGGCTCTGATGCTTTCTGAAAGGCTTGCTGCTCCCACTCGCACTGGTCTTGACTTATTCCACTCTGCCCTTCACCAATCTGCTTGCAGTCTTTCTGTCATCCCCCTGTTCCTCAGGCAAGACAGATGCTCTCCCCTTAGCCCCCATTCCTTGAGAGCAGTCATCCCCAACCACCTACATAAAAGACCCTCCTACTTCCTGTGTTTTTGCCTATTCTGCTTATCCTATTTAATTTTTCCTAAGACCTTCTGTATAGTTGATTATAGTTGATACTACCCAGAGACTTTCCAAACTGATCCAGAAAAGACTCCTAATGAAACTGGTTCAGAATCTCTTAGGATGCTGTCAGAGCTCCTTGGATCCTGATGAAAATGGTCTGAGAGTGAAAAGGAGCCTCTTTGTTCCAGGATCTGCTGACCTTCCAGGACGTGTCTGTGGACTTCACCCAGGAGGAGTGGGGACAGCTGACCCCTGCTTATCGGGATCTGTACCGGGAGGTCATGCTGGAGAACTACAGGAACCTGGTCTCAGTGGGTAAGGATGGACTCAGCCCCTGCCCCTAAAGCAGCCACATGCAGGAACATTTTTTTTTAAGTGAAGAAGTACCGTGGCTCCCAGGAAGTTTGTCCTTGGGTTCTGGATTAGAGAGATCTCATTCCTTTGAAAACCAAAACCAAGTCCAGGTTTATCTAGTTTTTCCTCCTCAAGGGAACAACTTTCCATTCGGAGCTGGACTCGAAAGCCACGCTGTGGTTCCCCTTTTCATTTTTTAAAACTCGAAGTTACCAGGGGTTCAGAACTAAATTCCAATGATTATTCTTAGACCTTACCCTAAACATTCATATTCCTTTTTTCGTTCGTTTAATTTCTTAAGCACCATATCTGCTCTCCAAACCAACCGTGATTTCCCAGCTGGAGAAAGGAGAAGAGCCATGGGCAACAGAGCAAGAAGGCCCAGGAGATCCCAGAGCAGGTGAGATTGGAGCAGAGTGCTTTCCTTGGCAGGCCGGAGTGTCCCACATCTTCCTAGACTGGGGAAGGCTGAGGTCGCTGGAGGTGGCTTGCACTAGGCATGAGTTTGCCTATCCACCTGGCCAAAAAGTCTATCTGGATTTACAGAAGGAAAGTCTGAGAGGGGAGGGAAAAGGAGAGACAGAGAGAGAGAGACCCAGTCTGTTGGAAAGTCTGAGAGGGGAGGGAAGAAGGGGGAGAGAGTGAGAGACAGACAGACAGACAGACAGACAGAGAGACCCCCCAGTCTGTTACCAGTCCAGTGAGCAGTGATTTACAGAGCTTATCACCCGAAGCATCTATTTTATTTTTCATTGCTTTCTACATACTTTTAATTTACTCCTTTTCTATTTCCATACTTCACCAACTTTCATTTTGCAATCCTAGCTTCCATGCTGCCTCTCTTTTTAATTCGTGTCTTCGTTTTTTGTAACAACTAGTTTATGAAAATTCCTGCAATTCCTTTACCAAAATCTCGCGGTCTTTAACTATCTCCTTAGACAGCATTTCATTAGGAAATACGTTAAACATTCAGAAAAAAAAAACAGAGAGCCATGGGCTGGGGAGGGCATTTGCCTTGCACGCAGCTGACCTGGATTTGATCCCTGAATGCAGCAGAATCAGAAGTAACCCCCGAGCATCACTGGGTGTAACCCCCTGAAAAAAAAAACTGAAACTGAAAGAAAAAAAAAGAAAAAGAGAAAGTTAGAAAGACCTTGAAGCAAATTTCTATTTTGCTTCCGCCTAGATTAAGAAATCAAATGGAATTCTGGTCCTTTGGTTTCCTTCCTATTATTTTAAAATAACCAATTCTTCTGAGTTTAAATACTTGGTCTTCATCTTTTTTTTAGATACATCTATAACCCTGAACAATAGGTATTGTTTTGCATGCTTTTATTTTGTTCTTACTCTTTACATAAATGACATATGTACTTCTGTCACTTAATTTTCTTATCCAGCATTCATGTTCATTCATTTCCCTTGAATTGATAAACCATAATCAGTGTATCCATTTTCGTGCTTATAGGAAAATTACATTAACTTAGGGCAGGAGCGATAGCACAGCGGTAGGGCGTTTGCCTTGCACGCAGCCAACATGGCCGACCCGAGTTCGATTCCTCCGCCCCTCTCAGAGAGCCTGGCAAGCTACCGAGAGTATCTCGTCCGCATGGCAGAGCCTGGCAAGCTCCCCGTGACCTGTTCGATATGCCAAACACAGTAACAAGTCTCACGATGGAGACTTTACTGGGCCTGCTCGAGCAAATCGACGAACAATGGGAGGGCCTTTACTTTACTTTTACTTACTTAGGGATTACTAAGATGCTGCAGCAATTTTCAGTAAATACCTTCTGTGGACATGTGCAAGTGTTTTTATAAGATACTTGGTAGGAGAAAAGTTGTTGGGTCCTGGAGTTTTAGCACCAATTTGTGCACTTCCATTGACAGGTTTCAAAATTTGGGAAGTTCCAAAAATCAAAAGTTTTGAGTTTCAAAAATTCAGTATCTGTGTCAATCTTTGGTATTGTCAAATTTGAGATTAAAAAAAATAATAATGCAGGTTGGAGAGATAGAGTGTTTGCCTGTCATGTGGCTGACCCGGATTCCATCCCTGGTACCCCATATGAGCCCCATATGAGCCCCTGAGCTCAGGTTAAGTCCTGAGCACTACTGGGTGTGACTCCCCCACAAATGAAACAAACACAGTTAAGGAGCTTGTCTTGCGCTTGGCCAACCTTGGTTCTATCCTAGTCATTGCATATGGTCCCCCAAGAAGCATCAGAAGTGACACCTGAGCACCAATAGGTGTGGCCCACACCTCTCCCTCACCTAAATTGGGTAAATATGGTATTGTGTTATTCCTTATATTTTCCTGAGACTAACAAGAAGGAACATATGTATTTCCCCCCCTCCCCCTTACTCCCCTTCTCCAGGCCTTAGGACTATTCCTGGCAATATTCAACACTGGATGGTTCCATGGTTGGGCCTGTCTCTGTGATGATGCTTGGTCCCACGGAGGCCACCAGGGGGCCACCAGAATCAAGCTCAGACCTTGTGCATGCCTTTGCTGGCTTCTAAGAACATATTTTTCACTTACTAATCATCCCACCAGGATTCTTATGAAAATTACTGTATATAATCCATTTCAATTTTTCTATTATTGTCTATTGTTTATATTAAGGACTTACAGGAAAAATGTAGCACCCTGTACTTTTTTTTTTTGGAGGGGGTCATACCCGGCAGTGCTCAGGGTTACTCCTGACTTTGCACTCAGGAATTACTCCTGGCAGTATTCAGGAGACCATATGGGATGCTGGGATTCGAACCCGGGTTGGCCATATGCAAGGCAAATGCCTTACCCACTGTGCTATCACTCTAGCCCTGCACCCTGTACTTTTAAAAATTTCTTTGTTATATTTAGACTTACCTGGAATTTTTCTTACATGTGGTATGAGATGAGGATCTACTTTAACTTTTTCACATCTAGGAAACTTTATTTAATAGTTAATGCCATTCTGTCCCCTGAAAAATTTCCTTTTACATTAGGATATATTTCTGGATTCTCTATTTTGTTTTTATTTCTCCATATAATAATTCTTGGTTATGTTAATTACTATATTTTGATTGTGTTAATTACTATATTTCATGTGAGATTTCAATTCTGGTAGAAGTAATGCTCTCATCTGCTTTTCAGAATAGACCTGAGTAGTCTTAGCCTCTTACTTTACCATATGAGTAATCTCCTCTGCTTCCATAGTTTGAGCCCACTTCAGACTTGGGAACTGAATTGAGGGATCACACAAATGACTCCCCTCCATCCTTTCCCTCTTTTTTTTCATCCTTTCCCTCTTTAGGACAAGAATCAAGGGCCTGTATATCATGGGCTTTATTTTTCCTCTTTTCATTTAGAATTTGAACTTGGTAGTAATAATTATTCTTCTGTGTTTACTAAAAATGTATAAGGGACTGGAGAGATAGTCCCGTGGGTAAAGCATTTATCTTGCACTTACCTGGGTTCAATCCCTGGCACTCCATATAGTCTGCCAAACACCACCAGCGTGATCCCTGAGCACAGAGAAAGGAGGAAGTCCTAAGCACCACTAGATGTAGCCCAAAAAGCAACATTAAAATATGATGTCTTTGAGGGGCTGGAGAGATAGCACAGCAGGTAGGGCGTTTGCCTTGCACGCCGCCGACCCAGCTTCAATTCCCAGCATCCCATGTGATCCCCTGAGCACCACCAGGAGTCACTCCTGAGTGCAGAGCCAGGAGTAACCCCTGTGAATCGCCAGGTGTGACCCAAAAAAAGCAAATCAATCAACCAATCAATAAAAATTTAAAAAAATGATGTCTTTGAGTAATATAGAATTGTCAGTTGAAATATTATTAACAGTATAACATTATTAATAAGAAAACTAGCTCAGTGGTAGAACACCGGCTTTGCATGTTTGATACCCTGAGTTCTGTCCTTAGCTCTGCACATAAAAGGAGGAATGTTGTTCCTAAATGTACAAACCAACCATATGTTAAAGGTTGAAGGATATTTTCATAGAGCATGGTTATAGTAACGACATAGCAGTCTGACTTTTTATCTTTGGAACCTTTCCTCACATATTATAGCATAACTATGAATTTGTTATTTAGTATAATTATAATAGGACTAAAATGCTCAGATTTTACTTTGTGAAATCACAGTTTTATCCTGTTTACTATGTTTGATTTAGTTTCCAATACATTTCCAGGCTGTATATAACAAAAAAAAGATAAAGTCCATGTACTTTATATGCATAGTTAAATAAATCTCAGTTCAGTACCCACTATAAATGTTCAGAGTTTTCAAAGCAAAATAAATGTGAGTCATTTGCATTTCCCCTATTTCTTTCAGACTTGAAGAGTAAAAGAGAAACCAGCGTATCAGCAGCAAAGAATGGCATTTTACAGGAGCAGTTATGTCGTGGCAGAGTAATGGAAAGATTCAAGAGGGATAATGCCATTTATCCAACTTTGAGAGAAATGTCCAAACATGAGTTAGAACGGCATGAGGAAACTCATGGAAGAGACACAAAACAACCCATTTTGACTCACAGCATGAGAGGTCACGAAACGAATACCTTTGGGGAAAATATTGTGAATTTAAATCTTATCGATAAGAAGCACCGCAAAGGTAACACACCTAGAAAGAGGAACAGATACAAATTAAACTTGCCCACTCCTTCAACAAACTGCATAAGAGCAAAAACCTATGAATGTAATATATGTGAAAAAATCTTCAAGCAACCCATTCACCTTACTGAACACATGAGAATCCACACTGGTGAGAAACCTTTCCGGTGTGAGGAATGCGGAAGGGCCTTCAGTCAAAGTGCATCCCTCACTACACACCAGAGAATCCACACTGGCGAGAAACCCTTTGGATGTGAAGAGTGTGGGAAAACCTTCAGACATCGCTCCTCTCTTAATCAGCACCATAGAACTCACACTGGGGAGAAGCCGTATGTCTGTGACAAATGTCAGAAAGCTTTTAGCCAGAACATTAGCTTGATCCAACATTTGAGAACTCATTCTGGAGAGAAACCTTTTACATGCAGTGAATGTGGGAAAACCTTTAGGCAGATCAGACATCTTAGCGAACATATACGAATCCATACTGGGGAGAAGCCCTATGCTTGCACCGCGTGCTGTAAAACCTTCAGCCACAGAGCCTATCTGACACATCACCAGAGAATCCATACTGGGGAGAAGCCCTACAAATGTAAGGAATGTGGGAAAGCTTTTAGGCAGAGGATACACCTTAGCAACCATAAAACTGTTCATACGGGAGTGAAAGCGTATGAATGTGACCGCTGTGGAAAAGCCTACAGGCACGATTCGTCCTTCAAGAAGCATCAAAGACACCACACTGGAGAAAAACCATACGAATGTAATGAATGTGGGAAATCCTTCAGCTATAATTCATCACTTAGTCGCCATCATGAAATACATAAGAGGAATGCCTTCCAAAATAATGTGAAGACATTACTCAACATGAAGTGAAAACCAATTCTAAGTGAGGGGTTTTTGTGTTTTTTTTTGCTTTTTGGGTCACACCCGGCGATGCACATGGGTTATTCCTGGCTCTGCACTCAGGAGTTACTCCTGGTGGTGCTCAGGGAACCATAAGGGATGCTGGGAATTGAACCCAGGTCGGCTGCATGCAAGGCAAACCCCCAGCCCACTGTGCTATCTCTCCAGCCCCTCTAAGTGAGGGTTTTTATGCTTTAAAATTTCAGAACTCTAGTTGGGGTAAAATCCCAAATAATAATGGTGGGTCTGATGTGGAAATATTGAATGTAATCAAAGTAGAGAGAGAGTAATGTGGAAATCATCTGCCATACAGGTAGGGGGAGGGTGTGGAATAAGAGGTATACTGGGGTTTTTGGTGGTAGAAAAGATGCCCTGGTGAAGGGACGGGTGTTTCATCATTGTATGACTGAGACTTAAACCCGAAAGCTTTGTAACAGCTCTCAAGGTGATTCAATAAATAAATTTATAAAAAAAAATTCAGAACTCTAAATTTAAGGGATGGCCATATTGTATAACTAAACACTACTTTGTAATTAAGTACTCCAAATACTCCCGTCTATTAGAAATATCTCTATACAAAGTATTTAAAAAAAAAATAAAGGATAGTCCTTCAAATTAAGTAAGGCAATATGGAAATTTCGCACATTTTTCCCCTTTTTCCATAGTAAATTAGTTTTCGTGTGAATTCACTGACTAGAATTTGGGAAACTACAGTTTAAAATATCATCACCCAATTTTTAAAAATCAAATTTTTTTAAATGAGGAAAACTTTCACATGGCATAAATTTCAAAAAGCAGTAGTACCAGGGAGGTGATTCAATGTGCTGAGTGCTTGCTTTGGTTTGAGGGGGCCAGGTTCAGTCTCTGGTACCACACGGTCCTTCAGGCTCTTGGCCAGCCTCAGGCCCAATAATAAAAGGCATGATAATGGAAAACTTCATAAAAGTGAAACGCTCCCCTCACCAAAGTGTACTCAAAGATAGTCTTTTTTCCCTAGCCCTGGGGATCAAACTCTGCATGCAGGACCTGCACTCTTCCTACTAAACCTATTTTCAGCCCTCAGGCAACCTTTTTTTTTTCTTATTGGGTCACACCCAGAGATGCACAGGGGTTACTCCTGGCTCTGCACTCAGGAATCACCCCGGGCGGTGCTCAGGGGACCATATGGGATGCTGGGAATTGAACCTGGGTTGGCCGCTTGCAAGGCAAACACCCTACCCGCTGTGCTATTGCTCCAGCCCCAGGCAACCATTTTTTAATGACTAACTTTTGTGCACTCCCTTTTTCACTTATATCCAGGAAAATACAGGTTATCATTTTAAGTGTCAATGGTAATCTTTACCGACATAGTACTTTTATAGAGAAAGTGCTCACTCATTTCTTTAACAACTACATAGTATTCCATGGGGCTGGAGTGATAGCACAGCGGTAGGGCATTTGCCTTGCATGCAGCCAACATGGCCGACCCGAGTTCGATTCCTCCGCCCCTCTCGGAGAGCCCAGCAAGCTACCGAGAGGATCTCGCCCGCACGGTAGAGCCTGGCAAGCTCCCCGTGACGTATTCAATACGCCAGACACAGTAACAACAAAGTCTCCAATGGAGACGTTACTGGGCCCGCTCGAGCAAATTGACGATCAATGGGAGGGCCTTTACCTTTTACCTATATAGTATTCCATGACTTGGATGTAACTGTGAATGAATTTATTGCATTTACAATCTCATATAATATTATAATGAACAATGTTGCATATTTTTCCTCACATGCTTAAGTATGTAGTTTAAATTCCTAAAACTGAAAACTTGGGGTTTTTTTGGGGGGGATCCACATTCAGCAGTGCTTAGGGCTTACTCCTGGCCCTGCACTCAGAGATCACTCCTAGCAGGTTCAGGGGATTCTACGGAGTGCCGGAGATCAAGCCCAGGTCAGCTGTGTGCAAGGCAAGCACTACCTGCCTTACTATCACTCCAGCCCTAGAGCTGAAATTTTTGAACCAGAGTATATGCACTTGTGTTATGCCTATAATTGATGGAAGGTTGCCAGACTGACCTTCATAGAGCTTGGATCAATTTATTTTCCCACTAATAAGATAGAAAATCATAAAAAGCCTTATCTTGTGTTGAAATACATTCGATCAGTCATCAAAGAAATACTAATTTATCCCAATGACAAACTAGATCCTGTGAACGTCCCCAGGAACAAAACTAGCCTCTGGCCAATAGAAATTCTCATCAGAACTAGCATCCAGGTCTTCCCACCCCTCAAAGTCTCAGTTGGATAAGACTGGTAGACGCTCTACCAACTGCTCTAATCTCTGACTTGTAAGCCTCATGAGAGACTAATGTACCTATTCCTTTGGTAAATAAAACTTTTCACTGCATACTATTTGGAAGCAGGAAAACTGACAATTGTGTCACGGTACTACCATGGCAGGGTCTTCACTGTTTGACTGATCATATAGAACATTTTACAGTATGGTTATGCTAGTGAGTAATACAGTTCACAATGAGAAAGAAGAGAAGGGATGAGATTTTTCAAACATCAATGAACAGGCATTAAGTAGTTAACATGTATAATATGAAAACTGAGCACCTAAGCTAGGATCACATGTTTTATTTTTCAATATGGTAGCTGAAATGTGGATGGTTTTCCCTTATTCTTCCCCACAATCACTATCCTAGTTATAAATCAAAGCCTGGCACTTAATGGTTCTCTGTTTTTTATTTATTTATTTATTTTATTAGTGGATCACTGTGAGGTTACAGACTTACAAACTTTCAGTAATACAATGCTCGAGTACCCATCCCTCCGCCAGTGCCCATTCTCCACCACCGATGAACCCAGTAGGTCCTCTTATTTCAAATGAACTAATGAGCTGGGACTAAAATTGGAATCACTTTGTATAACCCAAGTGGCTTTCTCTCTACCTCTCATCTCTACTTCTGTGTTTTTGTTTTAAACACCCCATTACAGTTCAGAGCGACAGTACAGCAAGTAGGGCGTTGACTTGCATGCGACTGACCCAGTTTTAATCCCCAGCATCCCATATGATCCTCCAAGCACCTTCAGGAGTAACTCCTGAGTGCAGAGCCAGGAGTAAGTCCTGAGCATTGCTGGGTGTGACCCCCCCCCCAAAAAAAAACAACCAAAACCAAAAATTCCACCCCATTACAAATCATGGTGACCATGACTGCTGGTGTGACCTATTTAAGAATTCCATAAGCCTAAAGACATCATCTTCTCTACACAGTTGTGCAATGTCACTTTTGTTATCAATCAAGTTACCAAAGACAAAACTATGAAGGAAGGGAAAGAAGTGACATTTTTTTAAATTGAATCAACGTCAAATACAGTTACAAAGCTTTCATGTTTGAGTTTCAGTCATACAGTGATCGAACACCCATCACTCAACCAGTGCATATACTGCCCCCCATTTCCAAATTGCCCCCTGCCTCTATGGCAGACAATTCCCCCCACACTCTCTCTCCACTTTGGGGCATTGTGGTTTGCAATATAGATATTAAGAGGCTATCACGTTTGGTCCTTTATCTACTTTCAGCACACATCTCCCATCCTGAACAATCCCTCCAACCATCACTTGTGTACACTCAAAAAGACAGCAGCAGCGGAGGTCTATCTCTCCCGCTGCCTGCGTAAGGTAGTCTCACACGGGTTCCTCCACCCCGGGGAGGTGGATGGCGATGGGCAGGTGAAGGAAGGAAACGAGGGCCAGGCTGGTTGGTCTTAGATGAAGTTTATTCGAATCCTCTCTCCATCCACTCCAGTCTCTGTCCTCTGCCTCCCCTTGCCTATTCTTACAGTCTCATTATATCCCCCAGCATGAGGGGTTGGGGTAACAATTACACATAGGTGTGGTCACAATTAATAGAGGTAGAATTCTTTCCCTTGGAGAAAACAGCTTCTAGGACAGATTCTCATTATCAGATCGACCCACCCTAGAGCAGAATCCCCTGGGTGTGTTTCTCCTCTCCTTGTCCAACAAACATATAAGCATACATAATATAAATCATTTTGTATGGATACAGTAAGAAATACCTTAAACTTATAGAATTCCTCTCTTAGGGCCATGTCAATCTCAGACTATAGTGCTCAGGCCAGATAGTCTTTCCTATCCCTAGCAGGGTCCTAGTCTTGTTGTTACTTTTGTATCATGACAGCATTTATCTATGATCAAGCTCTTATAGTTAAGAATCGTGGCACTTTGGCCTGGCCCATTTTAATGCCAGGGTAGCTCACCGCTTGCCCTGGGTCCATTCAGTCCCTTGTTGGGACCCTGCTTTTGGGGTGGTAGGAACCAAGGGCAAATGAGGCTTAAGTTGAGAAATCAGGTGCCTGGGAGTGAATAATATTCAAAGCCAATTAAATCCTAAATTACAAAGCATAATATTAACGGTCTTCCTGTATCTATACAAAAAGAACATTGCTTTAAAATAAACTATTCAAAGGACATAAGGAGAGGAGAAAGGCAATATTAACTTACAATCCAATTTCAGTATCCTAGAAGGATCTGATCTTACAAATAATTAACAGATTCTGATTAAAGGGAAAAGCTGATTAACCGGATGGGGAAGAGAGCAGAGAGAAGTGGTTACAGATAAGCAAAGGAATGGGAGTGACTCCGGAGCACTGTGATGGGTGTAACCTGATAAACCTAAGCTCCTCTGGCAAGGGAGAAAGGACAAAGCAGTGTCATCCTATAATCACTGACTTAGTGATTCCATCTCTATTCCAGCTGTCTTCTCCCTCAGCTCATGAGATAGGCTTCCAACTATGGAGCAATATTTCTGGCCCTTGTGTCTACTGTCCTTGGGTGTCAGTCTCATATTATGTTATTTTATATTTCACAAATGAGTGCAGTCATTCTATGTCTGCCCCTCTCTTTCTGACTCATTTCACTCTCCATGACCATCCACTTATAAGCAAATTTCATAACTTCATCTTTCCTAACAGCTGCATAGGATCACTTAATCACACTTAACTTCCCGTTAGTCGTCGATTTGCTCGAGCGGGCGCCAGTAACGTCTCCTTTTGTCCCTGTCGCGTGCTAGTGTAGCCCAATGGCATCTGTTTGCTCTGGGAACATGAAGAGCCTCAAACCGATCGTTCATGATCTTGACGAAGAAGTCTGACCATCTGGTAGGTGGGCGGCCACGCGGTCTTTTGACATCCCGTGGAATCCAGTCCGTAACAGCTCTAGTCCAGCGGTCGTCTTTAAGTCTCATTACGTGACCAGCCCATCTGATTTTTGACACCTTGGCAAACGAGACAGCGTCCCTGATTCTCGATCGTCGACGGATGTCGAACTCTGGATTCTTTCTCTCATTTGAGTGAAACGTGATATTCCAAGCTCTTTCAATTCTTCTTTGGGAGACCTGAATAGCATTCTCATCCTGTTTGCGTAGGGCCCAGGTCTCTGAGGCATATGTTAATGCAGGAAGAACAGTGGAATCAAAGAGATGTGCCTGGAGCCAGAGGTTCTTCGTCCTCTTAGCTATTTCTTCGATGTTCTTGAAGGTGTTCCAAGCCGCTCTCTTCCTCCTGCGCAGCTCGGGTGCCAGGTCATTTGTCATGTTGACCTCCCGACCTAGGTACACATAGCTGTTGCATTCAGAGATGGTCTTTCTGTTGAGAGCAAATGGGGCATCAGGAACGAGGCTGTTTCTCATAAACATTGTCTTCGTAAGATTCAGCTGTAGTCCCACCTTTCCACACTCACGGTCAAAGTTGGCCAGCATTTGTGCCGCTTGGCTGATGTTTGGTGTTATTAAAACAATGCCATCAGCAAAGCGGAGGTGGTGTAGTTGCCGACCATCTATCTTCACTCCCATTCCTTCCCATTCCAGTCGTCGCATGATGTTCTCGAGGGTGGCACTGAAGAGTTTTGGTGAAATGGTATCACCCTGCCGCACCCCTCTCTTGACATCAACGATCACTTCTTTGTAGAATGGTGAGATCCTGGTAGTGAATCCGCAATACAGCTCACGGAGGATCCTGATGTATTGGGCTTGAATGCCCTGATTGGCTAGGGCTTCAATGACCGCTTCCGTCTCAACAGAATCAAAGGCCTTCTTTAAATCAATGAACGTTAAGCAGAGAGGCATCTTGAACTCCCGAGAAACCTCAATGAGCTTGGTTATTGTGTGGATATGGTCGATGGTGCTGAATCTTTTGCGGAACCTGGCTTGCTCGCATGGTTGTCCTTCATCTAGTGTTCTGCCAATCCTATAGTATTCCATTGTGTAGAAAACCAAAGTTTCTTTAACCAGTCATCTGTTCTCGGACACTCGGGTTATTTCCAGAATCTGGCTATTGTGAACAGTGCTGAAATGAACATATAGGTGCAGATGTCATTTCTACTGTGCTTTTTTGCACGCTCGGGATATATTCCCAGAAGTGGTATTGCAGGGTCACATGGAAGCTCAATTTTCAGTTTTTGAAGGACTGTCCATATTGTTTTCCAAAAAGACTGGACCAGTTGGCATTCCCACCAACAGTGAAATAGTGTCCCTTTCTCCCCACATTCATAGCAACTCTGGTTGCTTTTGTTCTTTTGAATGTGTGCCACTTTCTGTGGTGTGAGATGATATCTCATTGTCATTTTAATTTGCATCTCCCTGATGATTAGTAATGTAGAGCATTTTTTTCATGTGCCTTTTGGCCATTTGTATTTCTTTTTTGAGGGCACTTCTATTATTTCTTCTCCCTATTCTTTGATGGGGTTGGAGGTTTTTTTCTTGTACAATTCTACTAGTATGTTGTATATCTTAGATATTAATCCCTTTTCAGATAGGTATTGGGTAAATGTTCTTTCCCATTCTGTGGACTCTCTCTATATTTTGGTCACTGTTTCTTTTGAGGTGCAGAAGCTTCTTAGTTTAAGATAGTCCCATTTGTTTATGTTTGTTTGCACTTGCTTGATCAGTGGTGGTTCATTCTTAAAGATGCTTTTAGAAGAAGTGACTTTCACAAGAGACAGACTGGTGATTTCCTGAGGTGGGAGTTTTAAGAAGTGCTAGTTCTGCTCTAATGATGAATCTGCTTAATTATACCTTTTTTTTGCCTTTTTTGGGTCACACCCGGCCATGCACAGGGATCACTCCTGGCTCTGCACTCAGGAATTACCCCTGGTGGTGCTCAGGGGACCATATGGGATGCTGGGAATCGAACCCGAGTCGGCCGCGTGCAAGGCAAACGCCCTATCCTCTGTGCTATCACTCCAGCCCCCTATTCTGCATTTCTGAAATTAGTTGTTTTAGTCACCATTAGAGGTTGATTTAAAAGTAAGCAAATTTGGGGGCAAAGTGATAGTACAGCCTTGCATGTGGCCTACCCTAGGTTCAATCCCTGCCACCCGAATTATTAGGTCCGGAGCCCTGGCGGGAGTAAGCTCTGAGCACCGCCGGGTGTGGCCCCCAAACCGAAATAAACTAAGGTTTTTAAAAAAAAAAAAAAAACACTAACAAGACAGGCATCCCTGGAAAGTGAGCTGGTGGTCGCTCTCAGCCGAGGTGCAGAAGGCAACGCACAGAATCTGCAGCCCTGAACTGGCAAAGGCCAGAGGCATCGGGAAAGGGACATGCCCAGTTCGTCCCTCTCTGGACATGGCTTGGGCATGGCTGGGAGGGCCAGGCAGGGGGGTGGATCCTAGGGCAGGGGGTTGGCGCGGTTCCGCCTGGAACAAGCCTGGAACAAGCCCCGCTTGCCGCCCAGGTGCCTCGGCCCCGCCCACCGGGAGGCGGATCCCCGGGAGGCGGAGCCTGGCGGCCACCAGGCGGCGCCGCTGAGGCTTCCGGGCCGCTGGGGGCGCGCGCGGGAGCGGCTCCCGGCGTCTCGGGTCCGGCTTTCGCTGGCCTTGCGCCCACCCCCCTGCTCCTTTTCCCTTTTCTGCTTCCCGGGGTCTGGCGAGGATCACTGCAGCTCTTCCGAGGCGGCGGAGGCGTGTCCGAGGTTAGGAGGAAGCCGGCCAGTGGGGGTGGCCAGCCGAGAGGCGGGCCCTGCCCGCGGCCCCCCTGCCCCGCTGTCCCCTGGCCCCCCGGGCCCGTGCACCCAGGCCCCCCGCCACGCAGCCCCTCGTTCGTTCCTCTGCCCACAGGTCCCCCGCCGCGCAGCCCCTCTTCCCCCCCTGCACCGCTGCCCCCCACCGCGCAGCCCCTCGTTGCCCCCCTGCCCGCTGCCCCCCTGCACCGCTGTCCCCCGGACCTCCGGTCCCGCTGTCCCCCGCCCCATTCCTCTTCCCCCAGCAGCCCCTCTTTACCCCCTGCCCCGCTCCTCCCCCCACCCCCTGCCCCCCACCCCGACCCCACTGCCCCCCACCCCACCCCCGCCCCGTTGCCCTGCTGTCTACCGCACCCCTGCCCCGCTGCCCCCAGCCCACGGGTAGCAAGTGGCCCCCCTTGCGGGCCAGGTACTCTCCCTGACTCTAAAGGCCGTGTATTGGGCTGGGGTCTTCTCCACCCCCTACCCCCGGCGCCGGCGACCCCTCGCTGCAGTCCCCAGCCGCTCCGGGACCCCATCAAAATTTCTGCAAGACCCTGCTGTCGGGGGCTGTTTGTTTTCTGTTTTGGAACCAGACCTGGTGGTGCTCAGGGCCTACTCCAGCGGCTGTGCTCAGGGATCACTCCTGGAGGGCCCTGGGGGACCTTGTGCGGTTCGGGGATTGAACCCGGGTCCGCTGCGTGCAAGGTGCAAGGCAAGCGGCCCATCTGGTTACTGTCACTTCCGTTGGTTATTTTCGAACCTTTCACTTTCAGGGAGCCGCGTGCAGGGAACATGAAGTCTGGATAGTTTGCCTCCCGGAGAGAGGCCAGCCGTTCCCTAGGATCTGGAGTGGAGTGCCGCTGTCTGTGCCATGCGAGGGATTGGTCAAGTGAGAAGTGACCAGAGGACCTCATCTGGCCGTTCACCTGGCTTCTGCCATCAGACCTGACTTTCCGGAGCTGCTTTTTCACCCCCAGCCTGTCATTTCAGCATCCTTCTACCTTTCCTTGGGTGCAGGAAAAGCCAGGTGAGTGCACTTTTCCTCTCTCCTAACATCTAATGTTTGTCGAAAACATAGATCCACTGTCTCATCCCTTCCTTGGGAAAAGGAAGAAGGACCGGGAAGGAGGAGACCACATCCTTTGACTGCTAGTATATGTGAGCTCCGTTTCAACGCCTCAGTTGTTTGGATAGCTGAGTAGGGTTCCCAGGAATACTCTGAATTTTTTTTTATTTATTTATTTACTTATTTTCATTGGGGGCCACACTCAGCAATGCTCAGGATTTGCTCCTGGGTCTGTGCTCTGGGATCACTCCTGGCGGACTCCGGGAACCGTAGAAGATGCCGGGATCTAACCAGAGTCAGCGGCATGCGAGGCAAACCCCTACCTGCTTACTATCACTCCAGCTCCTGAATTTTAAAGATGGCGCAAGAAAACTAAGAACTTTCCCTAAATTACTTGTAAGGCAAGTAGCAAAATGCTACTGCTAAATGCTCTTGAATGAATGAGGACCAGGCTTGGAATCCAGATCCGTAGGATCTTCAGATTCTTGGTACTATGCCAGTGTTTCTCAAACAGTGTTTATTCACTTACCAACTGTTTTTTTTTTTCCTTCCCTTGCTGTACCTATGTCCTACCTGTATTATTATTCCTATAGGCTTAACTTTTTTACTTATGTTTGTTTAAAAACCAAAATTTGTCCTAAGAAACTCCCGCATACTTTTTATTCTAAGATGTTTCTAAAAACATTGACCCCTGTTGCCATGTAAAATCATCTTGTCTCAAAAAGATAGAGACTGCATATTGGATTATAGTGCACTGCATGCTCCAAAGTGGTATGAATTTTCTATTTGCTTTCTATACAATGTTGAGGACATGATAAAACTAAGCAGGTAAGTGAAACACCTTAGAGAAGACACAAAGAAAATTATTTATCTAAGAAAGAAAATACACTCCAGTGGGTATTTTAGATTCAGATGTGCTGCCTGTATTTTTCTATGCAGAAAAATTTAGACCTTTCTGGAGTTTACTCTCCATGGTGGATTTCATACAAACAGATGAAATTATCTGAGTCAGTGTTGTCCTGTAGAAATATTTTTGCCTTCTCATATACCTGCCAGTAATATGTGGCTACTGAGTGCTTGCACCTTGACTGATGCAATGGAGAAAATAAATTTTAAATTCTCTAAATTTTAATTACTTTAAATGTCCCACATTTGGCCAGTGACTATATATTGTATAGCTCGGGTCTAGCTATTCGAATCAAGGTTTTCAAGAGAGATTGATCAGGATTTAACTCACTCCACTGGAGAAAAAAAAATTAAAAATCCAGGTACACATGTTGATTGTCATTTACATTTCTTCAGTGGAGGTTAAAGATTACCCAACCTTCAGGTATTTCATAGCTCACATAAAATTACTTATTTTGAAATTATTTTTGGCACATTTTTCCCCCCTTTTTGTTATTGTTATGTCTCCCAAGCAAAGCTCAGTGCAGGCAGCCTGCTGGTGACAGTAGCCAACTGTCCATGCTGCCACATGAATTTTTTTCCTGGTTTAACTTGTCTAGGGCATTTTTAGGGCAGTTGGGAAAAATTGAAGAGTAGAGTATTAACAGTGACAGTGAGTATTAACAATGATTACTTTGGTTAGATGATTATTAATGTAGGAGATTCTCCTTAATTGAAAATGAATGTGGAAGTGATAATTCTATTTCTTTCTTTCTTTCTTTGGATTTTGGACCACACTTAGTGTCATCCAGGGGCTATTCCTTGCTTTTTTGCTCAGGAGTGACCCCTGGCAGTGTTTAAGGGACCCTATATGGTGCTCAGGATTCAAACCAGGACTGGCCACAGGCCTTAACCTCTCTGGCCCTAAAGCTTTTATTTTACCAGTGTTATTACGTCTGTAATTTACTTTGAAATTGTTAACTGTCCCCCCTCCCATCCTTGCCCCCCCACCAAAAAAAAAAAAAGAAAAAACTCATCAGAACGTAGCTAATAATTGCATCAACGATTTATCTACTTGGTGCTTACACTGGTGTTTATTATTTCTATCTGTATGTTTGAAGATTTTTTTTTTTTTTTGCTTTTTGGGTCACACCCAGCGATGCTCAGGGGTTACTCCTGGCTCTGCACTCAGGAATTATTCCTGATGGTACTCAGGGGACCATATGGGATGCCGGGGATCGAACCCAGGTCAACCCAGTGGAAGGCAAATGCCCTACCCATTGTTCTATCGCTCTGGCCCCAGGATAACAGATACTTTTGATGGTAAGGTAATTTCTTATGGAGGAAGAGAATTAACTTAGAGGAAAACACCAATCTCTGTAATGTTAGGATCATTCATAAAGTCAGTAGGGATCAATTAAAACTCACCAAAAAGAACCTTTTCTTCTGTTTCTCTCCCGATTTCTGTACTTGCTGTGAATCTCCTCTCATTATACTGCATGTTGTTACTTCATGTATAAAGCAAATCTTGTATCAGTCTATAAGTGGCCTTTGAATTGCTCTCCTTTGTTCTTGAGAAGGATTTAAAAGAAGTCACGATATAAACTAATTTTCTCAGGAACCATTTGTAATTGAGAATAAAAGTCAGGAAACTTTAATTCTGCCAGAGAGATAGTATAGGGCTTAAGAAGCTGGCCTTGGGGCTGGAGCGATAGCACAGCGGGTAGGGCGTTTGCCTTGCACGCAGCCAACATGGCCGACACAGGTTCAATTCCCAGCACCCCATATGGTCCCCTGAGCACCGCCAGGAGCAATTCCTGAGTGCATGAGCCAGAAGTAACCCCTGAGCATCGCCGGGTGTGACCCAAAAAGCAAAAAAAAAAGAAAAAAAAACAAAGAAGCTGGCCTTGCATGCGGCTGGCTCTGGTTCAGTCCTCAGTACCACATAGGGTCCCCTGAGCCTATATAATAATGAGAGTCTGTTATTGTATATTGCTCTGTTTATACTACAACCCGGGCTGGAGTGATAGCACAGCGGGTAGGGCATTCGCCTTACAAGCAGCCAACATGGCCGACCCGAGTTCGATTCCTCCGCCCCTCTCGGAGAGCCCAGCAAGCTACCGAGAGTATTCGATATGCCAGACACAGTAACAACAAAGTCTCCAATGGAGACGTTACTGGGCCCGCTCGAGCTCGAGTAGTATTAACAATTGGTATAAATATGCCTCTTTAAATTCTGTACGTAAATTATTAGTCATGATTCTTTTTATTTCATTGGAATTTGAAGGTGATTTTAAGAAAATTTTATTTGGTGGACTGAGATGATAGTACAGCAGGTAGGACTCTTGCCTTGCATGTGGCCAACCCCGGTTCAATTCGCAGCAACTCATATGGTCCCCCAAGTTCCATCAGGAGTGATCCCCGAGTGCAGAACCAGGAGTCAAGCCCTGTGCATCTCTAGATGTGACCCCCAAGACCCCCACCGCAGATATTTTTTTTTTCTTTTGAGAATGCATTTCATTAACCTGATCTGTGTGGCCCTCACCCAACCCAGAGCTGTGCCATGGCAGAGACTGGAGAAGAGGAGGCCGCGTCAGCCGAGGCGTCGGGGTTCTCTGACTTGAGTGACTCAGAATTTCTCGAGTGTCTGGATCAGGAAAATAACCAAGATGCGAGTCCTCCGCTTAGCAACCCAGGCCCTTCCTCTGAACTCCCCGCAAAGGATGGCACAGGTAGGAATTCACCAGCACGCAAAAGAGAACTGGATGTCTCCTCGCCCCTGGAGCGCCTCCACCTTAACTATTTGTATGTCACAGACCTGTGTGCTCAGAACTGGTGTGAACAACAAATGGTCTACGGGAAGGAGCTCCCCGAGCTCTGCACGCCGGAGCAGGAAGCCGCCTTGGACGCGGGTGCCAGCATCCACCTGGCCCGAGAGCTCGAAGTTCACGATCTGGTGAACGTGGCCATCACCGCTAGAGAAGACGCGTGGGCAGTTAAGTTCCTGAACCTCCTGGCCATGATCCCGGTCCTGCAGTCGGAAGGGCGCGTCCGCGAGTTCCCGGTGTTCGGGGACGTGGAGGGGGTGCTGCTGGTGGGCGTCGTGGACGAGCTACACTACACCTGCAAAGGGGAGCTGGAGCTGTCCGAGCTCAAGACGCGCAGGCGCCCCATGCCCCCTCGGGAAGCGCAGAAAAAAAAAGACTTTCTCCAAGTCAGCCTGTACAAATGCATCTTCGATGCCATGGTCCGAGGGAAGGTGACCGCCGCCAGCCTGGTCCGCCACGCAGACTTGCGTCCGGAAAAGCCCCTGGGGCCCGCGGTGCTGCGGCACGCCCGCCAGGGGGGCATCTCCGTGCAGTCCCTGGGCGACCTCATGGAGCTGGGCTTCTTAGCCCTGACGCTGTCCGACCTCCCGGCCATCGACAGCTTGAAAGTTGAGTATATTCACCAGGAGACGGCCTGTGTGCTGGGCACAGAGGTCGTGCCCTATGAGGAGGAGGAGGTGCGAGGCAAGGTGAGGCACTGGATGACCTACTGGACGGGCCAGCGAGACCCTCGTGGGGTCGACGTGGAGGAGGCCTGGAAGTGCCGCACGTGCAGTTACGCAGACATCTGTGAGTGGAGGAAGCGGGGTGGGGTGCTCAACGCTACACCGGAGCCCAGAGCCAAGAAGAACAGATGAAGCAGGACAGACACCTGCAGAGTCTGAGCGTTCCTGCACCTCATGCCTGCATCAGACTGAAAGAGGGCCGTCCCTGAGCTCGCCTTTCATTTAGAGTATTCTGGTTTGGGTTGTTTTTATATTCTTCCAATCCTGACCAAGCAAATCAAGGACCAAGACACACCAGTGAATGGGAGAGACTTGGGAGTCTGCTATCCCAGGAGCTGCACTGTAGATCATTTAGAAGATGCATCATGGTTGGGGAGAAAGAATCCCTCAGCCATCATTGCCGTCCTAAGAAGATTCTTCAGTTTCTGAGAAATCTCTTTTCTGTTGTCCTCAAAGTTTTTTAAAATATTTTATGTAATAAAATGAATTGCTGGTCATTGAACCTAGTCAGTTGAACTGATCTTTTTTTCTTTTAAACTCAGTCATTCAAATATCACCACTCTACATAATTGTGTCTACAGCATTCCAATCCTTTATATGCATGAAAGTACTTTTTTTAATTTTATTGAATCACCATGAGATAGTTACAAGCTTTCATGTTTAGGTTATAATCACACAATGATCAAACACCCATCCCTCCACCAGTGCACATTCCCCACCACCAATATCCCCGGTATACCCCCCTTTCCCATGCTCCCTCTGCCTCCATGGCAGACATGATTCCCCATAGTCTAGTCTTTCTCTACTTTGGGGGATTATGGTTTGCAATACAGACACTGAGAGGTTATCATGTTTGGTTGGTCCTTTATCTACTTTCTGCACACATCTCCCATCCCGACCGATTCCTCCAGCCATCTTTTTCTTAGTGATCCCTTCTCTATTCCAGCTGCCTTCTCCCCTTTGCTCTTGAGACAGGCTTCCAGCTATGGAGCAATCTATCTGTCCCGTGTATCTACTGTCCTTAGGTGTCATCCTCATGTTATGTTGTTTTATACTCCACAATTGAGTGCAGTCCTTCTATGTCTGTCCCTCTCTTTCTGACTCATTTCACTTAGCATGATACGCTCCATGTCTATCCATTTATAAGCAAAGTGCATGAAAGTATTTCTGAGGTAGATCTAGTGCACTGAGCAGACTAAAATATTAGCATAATAAATGTGTTCAGAAAAATAAGGAAAAAATGAGGCAAGAACTGAAACTCAAAAGCATTAGTTATGGGGCTGGAGTAATAGTACAGCGGGTAGGGCGTTTGCCTTGCACGCGGGTGACCCGGGTTCGATTCCCAGCATCCCATAGGGTCCCCCAAGCACCGCCAGGAGTAATTCCTGAGCGCAGAGCTAGGAGTAACCCCTGAGCGTCGCTGGGTGTGACCCAAAAAGCAAAAAAAAAAAAATCACTAAAAAAGCATTAGTTCTGGAAAGTAAAACACAAAATAGCATATAAGATTCATACACTGTGATCCAGTTACACCATGTCTAGGTAGATGTTAAGAGAAGTTCTTGTACTAACCGGAAATGTGAATATTTGAAATGTGTAACCCTTGATGATATTCTAGGTTCTTCTACATAGTAAAACCTAAACATAAAAAGTACTTAGGTGCCCCATGCTGGGGGAAAAGGCAACTCAGATAAAGAAGGGAACACCAAATAAAGGATGTTTGGAGGACTTGCTCAGGATGCGAGATGCGTGCTGAAAGTAGACTATAAACTGGACACGATGGCCACTCAATACCTCTGTTGCAAACTACAACACCCTAAAGGAAAGAGTGAGCAAAAGGGATGCCTTGCTACAGAGGCAGGGTGGGGTGGGGGAGATGGGGTGGGGGGTGGAAGGGCTACTGGGATCATTGATGGTGGAGAATGGGCACTGGTGGAGGGATGTGTACTCGATCATTGTATAACTGAAACCCAAGCACATAAGTTTGCAAGTCTACAACTGTACCTCATGGTGTTTCACTAATAGAAAAAAAATTTTTAAAAAGTACCTAAGTGCCCACAGTCTTAATAGTAGGTAATGTGATGTGGTAGCCAGAAGAAATCACTACAAGGAATGCAACGATGTGGATTAGTCCTAAGCAGAATTGTGAAAACTTTTCATTTTTGTAAAGTGAAAAACCATAGTGGAAAGAAATATTCACTGCAAATATCACCTAAGAGGTTAGGCAAAAGTGATATGGGAGCTACCATCACCTGGAAAGTAAAGACTTGTTTCTAGAGACACTAACTGGAAAACTTGTACAAGTAGATAGAGTGGAGAAATGGCTGGCAGAATTGGAGTTTCTGCATTGGAAAACCAAGAGTCAGCAGAACATGGAAAATACTGTTCATAAAAATCCATGTTATACGTCAACTGGTAAGACCTGAACATCCAAAGGAGATAATAATAGGTTATCTCTGGAGGCTTCTAAATTATGTACATTTGAGGGAACATTATGTGTTTTTCAGAAATTCTCCCCATCTTCTCAGTATTATATGCCAGATACTGAGCTCATCACCTTTTAAATAATGAAATCTGTGTGTTCATTATTCCTGATGAGGGAACCGAGAATTTATGAGAGTTATTATATAACTTACCCCAAATCTTAGATCTTGGAGTGGTAGACATCAGCCAGATGTTTGACTGTAGTGCTTATGTGTGTAACCACTATGCTATGAATTTTTTTCTCGCTGTTAAATCTCCTAGAGTATTTTTCTAAGCCTAGGAAATTTGGAATCAAAAATGGAACATTGAACATTTTGAGATAAACAGTCTTAAGCTGATGATAGTCCTCAAGGAAAAAACTTGCTTCTATAGCATCATCTCAGTTATACTGGAAGACTTATGAAAGGGGAAAAAGAAAATCTGGCCTAGGGCCAGAGCGTTCATTCAGTGGGCTATGCAGCATACACTTGGCAGTTGGAGGCCTGGGTTCAAGACCAAGCACCATAAGGTCCCCCAAGCACCACCAGGAGCAATCCACCAAGCACTTAACCAGGAGTAGCCAGGACTTAAAGCCCTATGCTTCACCGGGTGTGACTCAAAAAGCAAAAAAAAATAAATAAAAATAAAAAAATTTAAAGTATATTTTTAACTTTCTGGATTAGACTGTCATTGAATAAGTAAGGGTTAGGTTCAACTGTTCATAATAAAATTTGTGAACTAACCATTAAAAAATTTTCTCCTGAAAAAAGAATCAAACATGTCTAGGTCTGATGTAGCATCCCACGGCATCAGGAACCCAGGTTCTTTCTCTTTTATTTTTCTGATATATATAGGGATCTGTTGATATCAGAATACAAAATGGCTGCTGAAGTGCCAGCTACCCAATTACACATTCAGGATCAAGCTAGAATAGGAAAAAGTTGTCCGGCTAAGGACACTCTACAAATTTGCAATACACGTTTCATGTATAGCCTGCTTCCCAAAGCTTGATAACCTGCTCACACAGAGCTACCTGCAAGGGAGGATTGGAATAGGTACTTTTTGTTCTAAGAAAACACTGACCCAGGTAAGATAGGTGCCATTCCCCGCCTCTCACCCTTTCACCCCCAAAAAAGGCTGTTCGGGAACAGCAGCCACTGGCATTGTTTGATTGTTTACCTTGCTAAGGAATCTACTACATCCATGGGGAAAAAAATAAAGTAGTAATTAATTAGTCCCCACAATGCCATTCTGGCACCAGGATGTCAGAATGACAGTTTGAAGTTTCATCCCGTTGGGACTGGGGAGATAGCCAGGGATCGCCAGCTCTGCATGGCTCCATCTGATGTGGACCCCAAAGAGAACCAACCAAGCTAAGTCCCGTTAATTTTGAAAATCTGATGCAACCTGCTAGGTGGAAACTGAACTGAACAATAGTTCTCTGGTGTCATATTTTGGAGCAGAAGTATCATCATCAGATTGAGTGTCAGTTTTCAAAGTTTGATAGCTAGCTAAGATATTGAAGTCCTGCAAGAGGTATATCATCAAGGCCATAAGATTCCTTTTTTGTTTTGGTTTTGAATATTTTTTGTTTTGTTTTATTTGGGACCAAACCTGGCAGTGCTGTGAGCTTTTTCCTGCCTTTGCACTTAGGGATCACTCCTGGTAGGGCTCAGGAAACCATATGGGGGCCCGGGCATAGAACCCAGGTTGGGCACATGCAAGAAAAGCAGCTTATCCACTCTGCTCTCTCCAGCCCCAAGGCCATGAGTTTCTTGGAGACTTAAGCATTCTGAAATACAATGAAGACAGCAGTTTTGAGAAGACACAGTCAAGAGGCATTGAGTTTCTCAAGCTTTGTCTAGTTTAGCATAGATTCCAAACAAACATGCACTGATAGCTCTATGATAAGAGTAGTATAGGGTACAAGGCCAAGAGAGTCATACACAGAGACCTCCATTGGGCTTTTGGAAAGCTTTCTGATAGAAGTAAAGACTGCTGGGAGTTGCACAGAGTGAATTAGCTAGGTTGAAAGTTTGAACAATCATTGATTGAGTATATGCAACAGTCTGGCAGAATATGGCAGCTGTGAAGCTCAACATTCATTTAGAGAGTGAATAAGTGCTTTGCATGTGGGAGGTCTAGGTTTGATAACTGGCGCTGTGTGGTCCTCTGAGCAGCACTAAGAGCCACCTCCAGGGAGTGAGCCAGGAGTAGGCCCCCCAGTGCTGCTGGACATGGCCCCTAAACAAAAGCAAAACAGCATTTATTTAGAAAATAGGATGAAGAGAAGAGGGGGACGAAACTAGTAAAGTAAATAGGGCAGAGATTATGTAAAACCAAAGTTTTGTTTTGAATGAGAGAGTTGATGATTCTCCAACTAACCTGTCCTTAATTTCTGTTTCTAGAATCTTTTTTTTTTTTTTTTTGCTTTTTGGGTCACACTTGGTGATGCACAGGGGATACTCCTGTCTCTGCACTCAGGAATCACCCCTGGCGGTGCTCAGGGGACCATATGGGATGCTGGGAATTGAACCCGGGTCGGCCACATGCAAGGCAAATGCCCTACCCGCTGTGCTATTGCTCCAGCCCCCGTCCGTTTCTAGAATCTTAAAATATATTTTGTGATAAAATTTACATAGTAAAAATTACCAGTTTCAGTGAGTAATTCAGTATCATTAAATGTATTCGT